TCTGGCTTTCCCACTGTATATCTTGAGGTCCTTGACAAAATCCAGAGATGAATATGCAAGATGATAGGTCCTGATCTGGCATCTAGTCTACAATCGCTATCCCACAGACATGCTGTGGCTTCTCTCTGTCTCTTCTACAAGTATTTTCACGGCTACTGTTCTGATGAGCTACTGTTGCTGGTTCCCGGACTTCCTACCAGACTGGCATCTTGGTCTCACCCTTTCACTGTCAAAATTTTTAAGCGTAACATCTCTTCTCAAACAGCTTCTTTTCCCACACTTCCTGTCTGTAGAACTACCTTCCCCTTACTTGCTTCCCCAATGACTATAATCTTCAAATATTCAAGTGTAATGTCAATCAATCTGTGACACCCTGATCTTGTTCCCTGTCCTCCTCTGTGTCCTTTCTGCAAATGCACCTCTTTGCTCTTGTTCTCAATCCTCTGTAACCCATTGTGTGCTAGTGGCACTCCTGTTTTGCTTGGGGTGATTGCCTTAAAAAAAAAGGTGCAGAAGTTCAAATATCTGGGAAGTGTTTTAACAGAAAATACAACACCAAGATCCAAACATGCATTAGACTAGCGAAAGAAGCATTCCAAAAGCTAAATAAGGTGCTGAGAAACACAAAAATTACATTGGAAACAAAGAAAAGAGTGCTGGATTGTTATGTGTTATCCATCCTGTTATATGGACAATCTCCCCACAGATGAGGAAAAAACTAGAGACAGCAGAAAAAGATACTGAAAATTCCATGGACTGAGTGAATAAGCAACAAGGAAGTCTTAAAGAAAATGGCAACAGAAAGAACACTGATACTCAGAATCAGGAAGACATAGGTGAAATTCTTTGAATACATAGAGGAAGAAGAGCTTGGAAAACTTAACACTTACATGGCAAGTTAAGTACAAGAAAGATAGAGGAAAGCATCAATGGATAACAGAACATGAGCTGTGGGGGTCCTTAGTAATGGGTGAAAAACTGCTAAGAGCCACAGAAGATAGAAAGTTGTGGAGAGCCATGATTGCCTATGTCTTGAATGCATGTGACAGAAGTCGCTTGTTAATTTTTTCTACTGAACCAGAGTATATGACTTTTCAGAACTACCAAATGCCAGGGATTGAACTCATAAATGCTAAAACGTTTCATTCACTCAGCTACATGTCTCTTGGATGATCCGGTGGTGTCATTTTAGAACTTTGAATGTTGTATCTGTACTCAGGTGGTGAAATTACAAGTCTCTTTATTCAGGTGGTTGAATGTTTTATTATCCTTTCTTTCTTAATTAGAGGCTACCAGATAATGTTCATGTCAACAATCAGTCTATTGAGGAAATTGTGTGTGTCTAACATACAAACTAATTCTTGAGGATACTACAACTAAAAGTTTGTGATGAGTATATCAGTCTGTACAGGAAGCATAAATAATGCTAATCATTCATCTAAATAGTTCTAGCATAAAATAGATGTCCTTTTTTCATCATTAAGCTCAAAACTTATTGATTTATATACATAGTTATGAGATGACAATATATATTTTTATATATCAACAGCAGTATTGTATGACAAAGTAGAAAAAGTTTACTTCTGATGCATTTTGTCCTTCATGACCTCACCAGACTAAATTTTTTATGTTGGTAGGACTACACATGTGCACTGCAGAGGGGTGCTGAGAATTTTTGAATTTTTTTTTTATCAGTTGAAATCATTTTGAGTCTTTTTCTTTTTCTTTCCATCATGTGTGTAAGTAGGTATTCCACACTGTAATAATAGAAAATCTGCCAGGTATGGTGAAAGGTTGTAAAAGTCAGAGCACAAATTTGCTGTAGATGACCTTGCGATTAAAGCCCTCTTTAGACATTTATGCCATAGTGAATTATTTTCTCCTTTGATCAGAGTAGAATTTTTTATATCAAAGTTGTGGTCAGTCTCATTATGATGGGCAATCAACACATTTGATGTATAGTTATAAAAGTGATGGCAGGATATTGTATTTGGTAATTTTTATTTGGACAATGAATTCATGTTCTAATTTGCCAATTTATCATATTAATCTGGTGAAAAAAACTGAGGTAAAAGAAGTGCAAATTACTAGTATGATTTTAAGTGCAGATATAAATGCAGATGGCAGTTTACCTGTGTTTTATAGATTATGCAAACACATTTGATAAAATACATCACAAAGAACTGGTGGAACTGCTCAGTAACCTTGACATATTTGGGAAGTCTATTAGAATAATACAGAACCAATACTGGCAGCAAACTACCTGCATATGGATAGAAAATGAATCCAATAAATATACAAAAATAGAAAGTGGTGTAAAAAAAAAAGCATGTCTTCTCATTCATCACATATGTCCACCCTTCCCATGTCTCTAAAAATATTTTTAGATGAAGCTAAATCAAAAATCTGTATGTGCATAATAAATGATTCATTAAAGGTCATAGGTTCCCAGGTTTCAGAAAAATAAGATTGGGAGGAAATAGTTTCATTCAACACACCATATACACATCTAACACATTCAAATTCAGTGACATAACTAGAGTATGTGCTGCTTGGGGCGACTCTTGAGTTTACCACTCCCCAGCCCCCACAAAAAATACATATTGTACAGTGACTCACTCTTAAAATTATAAAACTAGTTTGTGTACCATTATAATATTACTTCCAAATGCTCAAATATAGTATGCTTTAAATACGCACCAAACATACTGAAATGAAAATTTCAACAAGTAATTTTTCTTGCTTTTATTGGCAAATTCTTCAATGATATCATCAAAAACTATTTCATCTGTCAATTGTTGTTCTATAGACAGTAGATAGGCCAATATATATGCCATAGTTTAAGTTACTTGAAAGCGAAAAGATCCTTCAACTGTGAGTACTGTTCCAACATTAAAAACACTTTTATTTCAATACTGTCTACAACTGACACAAAAGAGCCACCCCCATAAAAGTGTTGAGGTGGACCACACCCTTCCCTGCCCTCTAGCTATGCCACTGCTCATATCTACTAAAAAATGAAACTCACCCATCATGCAACAGATGTCAAGTACCTTTCACAATTAAACATATACTCAAGTTGCCATCATCTCAAACACGAACAAAATATTATCAAGTAAACAATACAAAAAACTCTTTCAAAAACACTAAACCAAAAAATATCTTGAACTTAATCAAACTTTATACTAAAATATAAAAAGTACATAAAACCTTTAAAATACATTTTGAGAACTGAAAAAAGAACCCTTCAAACATCATAAAGACCCACACTAAAAATAACAATGCAAACTCTAATAACCAACAGAATACCAAATAACTTCTATTAGAAACTAACATCTCTAATAACTGATTAAAAAGAAAAAAAATTCACCAACTAACCTGTACCCAAAACTATCACTGATCCTCATATAAGATCAAGCTATATCCAAAAAAAACATGATTCAGAACCTTTGTCTGGCTTTATATAAACCTATAGTGGTTGAAGAGCCATTAAATAGAAACCAAAATAAACCATTACACCAACTGCACACCCACCAGGAATTGAAGATACAGAAAATAATGTTAACAATTAAAATAATTTTTGGTAAACAGAAACATACATAAGACGTTTTTTCACATGACACTACTTTTTTAACTACTGTCACTCTTTAGCAATGTTTGTTGTTTTAAAAAGTAATAATTAAAACTGGAATAAAACCTCAATCTACACTATTTATTTATTATATTATCAGGTCATCCCATAAGTTCTGTCCGAATTTTGAATAAAGAAAACAATTGACCAAATGTTACATTTAATTACAGATTCAATCAACAATGTATTTTCCCTGATTATCTATGACTTCCTTCCATCTATTAACAAGCTTACTAATTCCATTACTGTAAAATTCTTTTGGCTTTGATTCGAAGAACTCACAAATGTCAGTTTTAACCTCTTGCTGTGTTACAAAAGCTGTTTCTTCCAAATGATTCTGTAAGCTACGAAACAAATGGTAGTCTGAAGGAGCAAGATTGGGAGAATAAGGTGGATGAGGAATTTTCTCCCAACCAAGTTCTTTGAAAGGTGAAACAAGTTCCATACTCACTGGTTGTCCTAAAGAATTTGACATTAAATCATCCCAAAAGATTATCAGTCAACTGACCTCAGCATGCGGTTGGGTTCCATCAAGCCAAGTATGGTTCACCATTACTACTAGTTCAGTCCTCACTAGGTGCCCTATACAAAATTTGACATTAAATAATCCAATAAGGGCTGACATGTCATAAACCAACCAACTATTTACATTACTGTCATTAGTGTGTAATAATATTTTATTCATGACATTTTAGAATTTTCGCACACATCTTTTAAATTTTAAAATATGTTTATTTTATCAACACATCCCTGGGGTGTAGAACTCTGTGCATTGCTATTATTTTTCTGGTCTCTCAATCCATTCATTTAAATTGTCCTCTTGTCCAGCTTAGGAAGGGTCTTGAATACTTTACTGCACAAATGTTTATCTCATAAGTTTCTGCCATTTCTCTTGGTGCCCTCAATCTTAGTTGTTAGAATCACAACATTTCAACTATTTCTCAAATGAGGAATTAACATTATTATACGCTGTTTTATTCAAACTGGTATCCACATCTGGGATATGTTTCAGCCATTTCAGAAATAAGAAATTATCATTATTAAGCACTTATTTGACCTGGTAACCCCATTTTGGTCATTAGACTCATTTTGTACTTTCCAGCATTCTTTAAATACCTGCCATATTTCTCAGAATTTCAAATTGAAACTTTTGTTCAAACTCCCACTTTAAGATAGTTATATTTTCAGAAAAGTCATTTTGAATATTAATGTTTTATTGAGAACAAAACTGATCTTTTACAAACCGATAGCCTATAAAACAACATGGTGTGTGTATAAACACTTGTAGTGTGAAAGAGTCTGCAGTGATGAGGAGCTTATTCTTCAGATTTATAAAAAATTAAATTTGCCTTTTTGTTTTTCATGTCAGCTGTCCATGTTTAAGCAACTTTCTGTGGAAATGGTAAGCAGTCCTTAAAACAATGAACCACAATTCGCAAACTAATGATTCCACTGAAGTTGCTGTATGGATGAGGGATGTGAACAAATCATATGGATCATGCCGAAACAAACTTCACATCCTACAGAATCTTCAGCTAACCGTACCCAAAGGAGCCATGTAAGATTTTATTATTTTTTTTTTTGTGGTACTCAACCTGTCAACTTAGCTGCAGATGGTGCTGTCTTGGTATTTTTTTTTGAGATTCAACAAATGTTGCAGTTATCTCTCTAATTGTATATTATCTAAATCAGGACTTCTTAAATCAGGGTACACGACAGAATTTCATTGGGTATGTGATCAAATCTCTTACTCTCTCAGCACTTTGTCATTTTTATAATTAAACGTTTGTGTATCTTCTACCTTTTTTCCTTGATAGAAAAAACAATTTTTGGCAAAGTTTAATTTAGGACTAAGCAAAAAAATGGTGTGTTAAAAGAAGGCTTATCTCTGGACTTGCTTTTACTGTATACTTCCTTAGTAATTTTTAATGTTTTTTTTAATCATTTTATCTCAAGCAAAGCAACAAAGCCAATAAGTGGAAGGAGTTAATCTGCATGAAAGAATACAATAAAAAGAAAATCATTATTAAATTATTACTATTTTAAAAAGTTATATTTAGAATTTTAATAAAACCATAAAATATGGAACTAAATTTATCCATTTTTTTCTAGAGAAATAAAAGCAAAAATGTAAAACACTATTTATTTATTTATCAAATTGTTTACCGGATTGTTAATTTATAATCTACTAACAGGCTTTCCGCACTTGCTATCACTTTGCAAAGTAAGATATATTCACTACTTGAAATATTTGAAACAAAAATTTTAAATGAATATTTTATTCATAAATTGACTTGTTATAGTTAAGGAAAGTTCTACAAATAGATGCCAACTTGTTGAAGGCCGAGTAAAATGCAAATTGCAAACACTTTTCTGCACTATATAAGACAATATTCCTAAACAGAACTATTTTTGATATGAAAATCAAAACAATTCCTGAATAAAATAACATTAATGAAGAACAGTTAATTAATGAAATATACTTTTTTAAAATCAATATGCAAATTAGTTAAACCTGAAAAGTGATATTGCTTAGAAGTAGTAAATATAAAATACAGCTATTGAGCTTTAAGCATATAAATTATTATAGACTTATTATATATTATTATAGATTTAGGGCTTTTTAACCCCAGAATTCATGTGATAATTGTGCTCCAATTTTGAATTTGTTCATATAGATGATTGACCTGAACTATATGGAAAATCATGTTTTGGATTTTTTGAGTGAAAAACTTCTTTGTAATTTTTGTGTTTTTAAAAAGATATTTTTAGATTTTAATAAAACCATAATATGAAACTGGATATAAATGTTTCTTCTTCAATCATAACTACCTCAGATTACTTCTTTTTTTTTTAATTTTCCAGGGGGTAATGTCAGTGTGCTATCCAGTTTCATATATGATGGTTTTATTAAAATCCTAAAAACAGCTTTTTAAAACAATAAAAACCACCAACATAGTACATGTTAATAGTGATATCAAAGGAAAAACATCCTTTTGACACAGTTTTTTTTTAAATTTTTTACCTACTCCTAAGATAAACATTGTCCAATTTTAGTTCTGTATTCTTCCTTGCATCTCCCCCCTCACACACACACCAAGCGCCAAATGTTCATTATATTTGAGCTTTGGTATTAAAACATGGCACATCTTCTTATAAGGTATACCAACACATTTGGGTAGGATAAAAGAGTATGTAGTTGGAAAAAGTTTGAGAACCCCTGATATAAATAATAAAATCAATACAGGGTCAGATTAAAGCCAATTATACCGTAAGCACAGCCACACCCCAACACTAGTGCTCTTTCAGCCTTCCCCTGATGTCAATTAGGTCTAGAGTGATTGTTTTTAATTTTATAACATAATATGCTCATATAGTTAAAATATCTATACCACTTTATATTTCAAATTTGGTTAAAGTCGTTGAAAGTTCTTTGTTAAGGATTTTTTGTTTATTCTACAAATTCTAGAAGGATTAAGCAAACAACCCAACATTAATAAAATATTAAATTTAAGAACAAACATATTAGGTATATTTCATATATAAAAAAAAACTCCCCCCACAAAAAAAAATGATAGCACAAACATGAGTGAAGACATTTGTTGAGGTGGAAATTAGTAACCTAGAAGAAAGAACCTTGTTGTTGTTACTGTTGTAGAGGTTAATTCCTTCTCTATCTCAGTAAATGTAAATCCAAGCATCAAGCAAAAGAGGGCATTGAGTAGGGGGAAATAGATGTACAATTTATTTACATATATACAAAGACTGGTAACTTTTATCTGTTGCTGTTACTGAAGCAACAGGAAAAGTGGTGAATTTTAGAAGCAAAATAGACATTTGGTGGTTGTGGTCTTCAGTGGCATTTCTCTCTCAGTGTGTCGGTGTTGACATCAAATGCTGATCTGTGTTGCATCTCTCTCTTAGTATCAATGCTGATCTGTGTTGTATCTCTTTCTCAGTGTGTTGGTGTTGACATCAAATGCTGATCTGTGTTGCATCTCTCTCTTAGTATCAATGCTCATCTGTGTTGTATCTCTTTCTCAGTGTGTTGGTGTTGACATCAAATGCTGATCTGTGTTGCATCTCTCTCTTAGTATCAATGCTCATCTGTGTTGTATCTCTTTCTCAGTGTGTCAGTGTTGACATCAAATGCTGATCTGTGTTGCATCTCTCTCTTAGTATCAATGCTGATCTGTGTTGTATCTCTTTCTCAGTGTGTTGGTGTTGACATCAAATGCTAGTCTGTGTTGGGTTTGTTTGAATTTGGGTATATATAGTTTTTAGTTGGTTTGAAAGTAAGTTTTTTTTTGTGGGTGTGACTCTGACTGCTCATAATATATTATTAATTTTGTTTTGGTTAAAGTGAATGTATGTGTGGAGCTGAAGTGCAGAAAACGTATTTACACAGTCTGCTTTGGGTTGTTGAGCAGCCAAGTGAAGAAGTCTTAAGGAACTACAAGAAAATCAGAAAAAGACAGTTGAAATTTCTGGGACACATAATGAGGAAAGACAGCCTGGAGAATTTAACACTCACATGAAATGCTAAAAGTAAAAGAAAAAAGTGAAAATAAGTAACCTACTTAATGAGTTTATGTGTGTTGTGGAGTAAAGAGTACACCCCAGTGACTCTATGAACTCGTCCGATACTATAAAGTATTCTATGGTATAAGGTCGGGAGTAGTCATATTGGAGTCAGGTAGTTCACTGCCAGGCTCACTGCTAACTTGTTGAACTCTCTGCTCTGGGGAGGTAGATAAACCCGACCCTGTGTATGTGGGATCTATGGGATATTTTTGCCCAAGCCTAGGGCTCAGATTTGCCCCGCATAAAAATCAGCCTTGTGTCACATCCTGCCTTGTGAGGAGGTTGATAAATACCAGCCATATTGGAGTCAGTCTTCATACTAGCTATACAGGTGTACAACAATAGTCTAATCATTAGGTATAGAGAATACTTTAACAAATTAATTTATACTAAGTATAAGTGTGTGTTATAATGATAACCTTACTGTAGGAAGTTATAATAGTTGGCAATGTGGATACTCAAACACAAGTGCGGGATAAAATCACAACATTATAACTGAAGATATAATAATTGATGACAAACTCAAGTGTGGTATAACAAGCCCCACATTATAACTGGAGTTATAATAGTGGGCAACCAGATTTTCAAAACTCATATGTGTGCAACAGTAGTTACAAGAATTTCAACCACGTTGGTTGAAAAAAATATTTTCTTGCAGATATGGAGAAAACTTTGGCTTTGATAGTTGAAATTCAACAACAATAACAGAAGCAACAACAACAAAATAACCACCAGTTGCTACAGTTGCAAAGACAACAAGAGTTGTTGGAAGTGGTTTTGAAGAAAAATGCTTCAATGTCTCTTATGCTGGACGTAGTTCAAAACATCATATCGGAATTCATATGCAATCCTGATGAAGGACTGATTTTTGCTGTGTATTTTCACAGACATGAAGAAATATTTAGTCAGGAACGCAGTGGTTGGGAAGAAGATAAAAAAACAAGGTTGTTGTTAAGAAAATTAGGTCCAACAGAGTATGAAAAGTACTACAATTATATTTTACTGAGAAAACCAGGTAAAATAATGTTTGGGGACACTACACATTCTGATGAAAATTTTTAGTGACAAGTGCTCTCTGTTCCATCCTTGTTGAAGGTGCATGAATTTAACCAAAAAAGAGGATGAAGATTTTGTCACATATGAGGGTACTGTCAACAGAGAATATGAACAATTTAAACTAAAGGAAATTACTCCGGATATGTTCAAGGCATTAATTTTTGTACAAGGTCTAACAGACAAAAAGATGCTGAAGTATAAACAAAAATTTTATCAAAGATTGAACATAATAGCGTAACACTAAAGGAAATAGAAAACAATTGCCAAACAATGTTAAGTCTGAAGCATGATGTGGAAAAACTTCAGGATAAAGGATGTACATTGGTAAAAGCTAAGGAAAAATGCACAAAAAGGAATATAAAAGCCTGTTTCATATGTGTAAAATTACATCTTAGGAAAGGCTGTCCATGGCAAAATGCTATAACTGTAGTAAAAAAGGACATATGAAATCACACTACAGAAGTAAACCAAGAAAAAAATTTTGCAGGAAGAAATTAATTCACAATATTGCAATGGAAAAAAATAGGTACATGAAACAAAAGAAAATTTGTTAACATGCAAATCAATAATGTGGGAGTAAAAATGTTACTAGATACTGGTAGTGATATTTCAATAGTAAATGAAACAACATGGAAAAAATTTAGAAAACCTTTATTAAAAAGGACTTACAAAATTGCAACTTCAGTTTCTGGTGAAAAATTATTTGCGATGTGAGCGTGGGAGGGAGAATTAACATGTGATGTTTATTTTTGGAATAAGCAAGTGAAAAGAAAAGCTTATGTTCTGAAAAATGCAATGAATCTATTCAGTATGGACTGGATAAAACTATTCAAACTGTTGGATTTGCTGATAAACACTTATTGTAAAAATGTAAATGGACAAGTGATTAATTTAAAAAGTAAGAGCGAAAAACTGAAG